TACGTTTATGATGATATATGATCTCTACATACTCTTTATAGATATGATAGTCAAGTGTTATAGATTTTTATATTGTGATAAATATTTTATAAATTAATTTTTTAAAATAACGAGAAGCTAACTTTAAAATCAACAATATTTTCAAAGAAAATTTACCATTAGTCTTCATTTTTTTTCTTCTTATTGATGCCTTTATAATATTTCACGATTTGCTCTATTTCTTGAGTCATGCCTTTCGTACTAACTCAAAAACTAAGCAGTAATTGTTAATACAAAAATAATTTTATGTCATTCATCAAAATCAATAAATCACTCTGTTATGTGCAACATCATCAACTGTATGATTGTTCAGAACTTGAGTGAGTTAAACATTATCCCTATTATAGTTTACCCGGGGAGACGTCTTGTTGTTCTGATCTTATACATGAGGACCATAAAAACTTATAAAGAATCTATTAAAAGGGTATAAAAGAGACTTGTCTAATGGCAAATTATCCATAATTGGGTAGATGACGAAAGTACAAACTATGTCTTCTGTATTATCCTACACTATGCAAATTGCCTTACTCCCTCATTTGATCCTCAATCACTTGGATTAGCTTATTAGGAGTTCGTTTAGGAAACCCAAGGGCTAAAGAAAAATTCATTTGGTTAAATAGAGGAAGGTTTATAAAGGCCCACAATTAGCTAAATAATAATATTGAAATTTATTAGTTTTGCTGAAACAATTTAGAATCTAAGATTATATTCCTTGCATAGTTTAATTGAAATGTCAAATAGTATTACGGAAATGTCCATTGAAAAACATAAAAGAAAGAAAAGTGTAAACCGAAAACCTATGTGATCAACCTCCATTGTGTAACTGGAAAAACGGGATGCAACCTTTTTGCTAATTTTCTTGCTGTTCAAGATTCAAATCTTGATAACTCTAATCTGAAATGGTTAATAATTGTTGGGTTTTGGGTTCCCTTCTACATGGAAAAACTCAAATATTTTTTTAGTCCACTTATTTTTCAGCCCATTAGGATTGTTAGGATTTTTTTTTTTTTAGTATCACTTTAACCCTAAGAAATAGTATAAAAATATGTTTTTAGCCAGTAAAAGGTAAATAACAAAAAAAAAAAAATTTTGTTGAAAAAATTACATCCAACGTATTTTATTTCTTTCCACGATCAGATAATGATCTTTATACGGATCAGGCTAAAATTTGGGGGGTATTTAGAAGATTTATTGTTCTTCATTATGAAGAGTGAAGATCGATTTTAGATGATTGAATTTTTGGTACTATTCACGTTTTTCTTCTCTACACCGATCGGTATGACTTTCTCCGACGATCAGACAGTCATTTGTGGTCTGATGAGGCTAAATTTTGGTGAGCATGTTTGGAATAAGTTGTTCTTTAATCTGAACATTGAAGATCGAATTTAGAAAATCAAAACGCATTTGTTTTGCTTGAACAGTAGTTGTTTTGGTGATATTTATCCATTCCCTTATTTATCTCTTGTTGTTTGTTTGATTTGTTATTGAATATTTATTTGAAGATTATAGTGGTTGCTTGTTGTTACAATAAATACTAATTATTATATTGGATCTCTTTTTACTTGGATCAGGAGAGATTCTGTTGTTTTTATTCTTCACATTAAATAAGTTTTTTACGTTAAAAATTTTAGAGTTTTTGTGTGATTGTTTTTTAGTATCTCAAGGTAGATTTTATAATATTTATTTTAACTGAATTTTGACTTAGTTTTCACTCCTCATAGATTCATTCAAGTGCTTTTCTACA